GATCACCATAGTCTGAGTGAGTGTGCATCTGCTGGACTTAGAGCCTAAGGCTTGAGACTTCTGATCTGACACTTGAGCTTAGCATGCAGAGGGAATGTCTGTCATGAGCCTGTCATGATTAAGTGTGTTTGCAGTGCTTAGAATTAATCTGGATTGTTTGCTGTGAATTGATGATGTCTCCTGCAGCGCCCAGCATTAAGGACTGTCATTTTCTCGATTAAGAACCTATACAGTGAAATTGTATTGAGTGATTTGAGTGCATAAAGCATTGAAAAGGGCAGAAGCGTGTGGACATTCTTTATTTCTCCCCCTGGACTGCATAAATTGCACCTTTTGTCCGTCGAGGCCTGGACCCACAGGAGTGGTCTCTCAGTTCACATGTTATTGGAAAACTTCTTTTTTTTCCTTCCAAGCTAACCAAAAAGCTAACAGAAACGATGATTCTCTGCAGGGAATGTCCGTGTGATCTTGAATGGCCTTCACTGACCCTCCCTCCCCACCACCCAGCAGCTCAAGAGACTGAGGCAGAAGAATCATGAATTCAAAGCCAGCAAAAGTGAGAATCATAAACCCAGGATCATATCCAAAAATAAAAACAAGGATAGAGAAAACAGAATATATTAAAAAAGGACAAAATAATCAGTGATCCAGGATGTTCATGAAGCAAATCAGACCATAATTTTTTTATTCGTTCAAGGAATATTTATCACCATCTAAAATATGCCAAGCATTACAGTGAGAGTATTCAAACCTCACATCTGCACTCCCAATTTTTCTGTGTTGTCCGGCACAAAAAGTTCTATCACCATTCAACAAATATTCTATGCCCGATTACTTCTCTTAATTATTTGGATCTTATGCCTTACTTGAAAAACACATAATAGAATGTTCTCTGGAATGAGCAAGAGATCAAAGCCCTGAGTTCTATTCTCAAATCTGCAAAGTTCCATCAGGAGCAATATGCCACACCTTGCAATATCTGGTTTTCTTGCTAACCTAAATACATGTAATATGTTCAACTGAAATTTTTAAAATACTAGTCATCTGCCTCATTAAAATAATAATAATAATAATAATTGCTATTTGCTAGTCATTCTGCAGTTATTACAAAAAAAATCATATTCTACAGGAGGCTGAGGCAGGTGGATCACAAGTTCAAAGCCAACCTTGGCAACTCAGTAAGAACCTATCTCAAAATTTAAAAATTAAAAGGGCTGGAGTTGTAGCTCAATGGTAGAGCTACTGGTTCAAACCTCAGTACCACAAAAAATCATATTCTATAACGAAATGTAGTGTATATGATTCTTTACAAATCAAAATAAATTGCTAATCACAAACTATTAAAAATAGCATATAACTAAGGGCAGAGAGTCGTTCTGGGAGCCCAGATATCTGGGACTCAGTCTATTTCTTTTTAAACTATCATATATCAAACAACTCCTGGCACTTGTGAACATTTTACCTCACGGAACGTCATCAGATTTTTGAAGCTTCCAATGTACAGATGAAGGAAATGCCAAGAACTAATTTGTTTTCTTTGGCGAGTCATTATTTCAAATAAAAACAGAGTATTAAATTTGAGGTTGGCTCAAAACAATGGGAACTAATGTTTACCAAAGAATTCTAACACTTCAGTGAAGAACATAATTGTATTTATATATGTGATTGAAACCCTTTAATCCACCAAACACCAATGTTCTAAGCAGTTTGCAAACCACAGAATTAAGATTAGCCTGTTTAACAGTTTTGTCATCATTTAAAAGGAAAGTCACCTTGATACACCTGAAAGAAAGAATGAAATGCATTTAAGGAAATAGAGACAAGAAGAAGATCCTGTGGATTTGTCTATATGTTGATTTATATGCTGATTCATTAGGCAAAGAATTTGAGTCAGTGATGGCTGTTTTAATCATTAACGCCCTTCCTGCCGGTCAATTCTGAACAGACCTGGGGAAACATAAGAACTTAATTTCGAACCTAATTTTACAAAGCAAAAGAAGAGATGGAAAAATGGGGAAAAAAAAAACTGAATTCAGATGATAACTACAAAAAAAATTCACAAACCCCAGGCCAAGTTCAGAGGGAAAAGATAATGTTAAAACTTGTCCTCCCTCATTCTTTGCACATAAGGCTCTTTCCCCAGGGGCTCTGAAATTTGTAAGTTCTACCAGATTTCTTTCACTTAGCTACTCTTCCTTTCTTTAAATTTTCTATTTTTCCAATGACAGTGTAAAAATGAAAAGAATTCTATTTCATAGTTTAAAAAAGGAGAGAAACCTGACCTATCCCCACATCTCTAACATTTGCATACCATTTTATCATTAGTATTTAGACTGCCTTCTTGTTTTCATCATTTGGGAAAAAGATGAGGCAAGATGACCAACATATTATGTTTGGGACATTTTTTTTTTACCACCTTATAAGGGCATTGTGGCAATTGTTCCATTAAAATGCTTGCAAAACAGGGGCTGGGATGTAGCTCACTGGTAAAGTGCCTGCCTCATAGGCATGCACAAAGCCCTGGGTTCAATTCCCTGTTCCAAAAAGGAAAAGACAAAAAAAAAAAATGCTTGTAAAACACCTTATACATCCTGAAGAGATGCCACAAGGCATTTCACATAAATGTGAGAAATAGCATCATGCTAGTGTGAAAACACTGCAGGTGTAGAGTAAAACCTGATAACCTACAGGGCTACATAAAGGAAATCCTCATCTAATTTAATAATGCATCCCAATAAAAGCAGTTTAAGGAAAAATTAAGAGAAGCCAGGACATTGGAAACAAATGACTGAGTATATAGATTAAAGCATGCACATAATTCAACGGAGACCAAGTAGACCAGGAAGAAAGTTTTAAATCAACACAAGTCAACTACATAAGTATAAAACTAAAGAGGTTAAGAAATATTTTTTGGAAACAGCTATACTTTTTAAAAAACAATCTTCTTAAAATGGTGGTAAAATATATACATAACAAAATTTACCATCTTTTTTAAAAATATTTATTTTTTAGTTGTAGGTGGACATAATATCTTTATTTCATTTTTATGTGGTGCTGAGGTTTGAACCCAGTGCCTCACGTGTGCTAGGCAAGCACTCTACCCCTGAGCCACAACCCCAGCCCCCCAAATTTACCATCTTAATCCGTTTTTAAGCACACAGTTCAGTGGTGGTACACACACTCATATTGTTTTGCAACTGATCTCCAGAACTCTTTTTACATGGCAAAACTAAAACTCTACATCTTAACCACCATTCACCATTCTGCTCTTTCTACGAATTTAACTGCTCTGGGAATCTCATGTAAGTGGAATCATACAGTATTTGTTCTTTTT